TCTATTGTAAAAAAAAAAAAAAAAGACAAGAAAAGCAATGAATAAAGCTAGACAGAGTCTTTCTGGCATTGCTTATCATTCAAAGCAGTAAAATACTTCCCCTGTTAATTTCAAACATGTCATTAGCAACATCTGAATCAGCAGCTTTGTAAAGCTTTGTAGACACTTGATATGGAAAGCCCTTACATATGCTTCCATCCCTATATACTGCTAATCCCACCCTTCAGTATAGCCTACCAACCCCTCAAAAGACCACTGGATTCATTTCAGCTTCACAACATAAATGTTGCAGAATCTTGCTTTTGTCTAACAGGGGAAAGGAAAAGGATGTAAGTTGAATACAGGGCACAGTGCAGTGATACTCAAAATGGAGTTTGCCACCAGTCATCTAGAAAATATGTCTCAGTCACCCATGTCCCTCTCTGTGCCACTCAAAGGAAACAGGAAATATGAAGAGCAAAGCCCTGAAGTTTTCAAGCAGATGCTGAAACATAGGTGACGTTTACACCCAGAGTTAAATGAGGTGTCCTAGGGTGTATAAGACAACTACAAGAGAACTGCAGATACCACACGGGACCTAGAGGAAACCCATTCCCTATGTAAAAGCGGCTTGAAGCCAGACAGGACACTTGGGTGTCTAAAATGACACGTGTAAAGACAATTTAATTGAGTCCTAAGTGTTGCAAGACCTCTTACCTGAGACTCAAATGGATGTGACTTGCTGTACAAATGTAAACACCTCTCTTTGAGTTAGCCATTCTGGACAATGCTTGTGACAACCCAGACAGTACAGCTGCTGGTTGAGGGCACCATCCTGTCGTTAAAATAGAAGCACCTCTTTCTTACAGCTGCTGGGCCCTTAGGTGGCCAGATCTGATGGAGCCATCAGCATCATAGACACCTAAATTAGAGGACCACATCCACTTTGATAAACTCATATAACCATACTAGAATTTGAGGAAGCAGAAATACCATTCACACAGAAGGTCCTACACCTGGTTGCAATGAAAGAGTAAAAGCACAGCCATGGTTTCACAATGGACAGGGCCTCAAAAGTCCCATGCCTGGTGCTCTGACGTAGCTTTGACCTGTCCTGCAGCAGAAAGCGGTTTTCTTTTGGATTCAGATCAATGCAAATTATCTCCTTATTGGTGGAAGTGGGCAAATTAGGAGTCAGATTAAGCCCCAAGCACAGTATGAAAATGTAACAGCCAACTACTCTGAGGGTCACACATCTGGAAGATGTCCAAACCTCAGGGAGTGGAGAATGCAAGGATCCTTGTGGGAGGGGACCACATCCAGCCCATGGATGCCCATGGTGGCTAGGTTTTGTTTATTTTGTTTTTTCCATGCACTCTCTGAGTTCATGCAGAAGCCACCTTCAGCTCTATATTGGTTTCCTATTCTCCTAAAGCTGCCAGGCTGTTGTGAAGTTTCTACCCTGAGGTCAGGCTGGTGGAAAGCTGAGAGGCAAAGGGGAGCAGAGAGGAAGTCTCCCACCAGACCAAGAGGGAGGGGGGAAAGGGAGATCTTGTTACAGGTCAATACAGCTGAAATAGTACTTAATGTTTTTTGCAGCTTGGTTTATTGTGAGTCTCTTGAGTTGTGGCTGGATCGAGATTGGGAAGGCAGGACCAGGTGGGCTAGCCCACTGCAGAAAGATCATTTCACCTGGCTGTATAAGACAGATGGCTGCGGTTTGGTGGAGCTTTGCAACATGTGACCAGAGACGATGAGGGCAATGAAGTGTCCTGAGAATGTGCAGTGCCTGAGGGCACCGCAGAGCATGACCTAGAGAGGATACAATGGGGCATGACTTGATCAGAAATCACTTTTCCAACCCCAAAACCAGCTCAGCCACAACAGGGGACCTCATCCTACCCAGCATCCTTCAGGATCAACCATGACTAGCTCAGCCTTGTGAAGGGAAGGTTTCCAGAGCACTCTTTTGCAAGCTCTGTTGGCAGGGGAAGTGGGTAAGTTGGGTACTCCTTAGGGAGATGGCAAGTGCAATAAGCACAGGAAAAATTTAAGAAACAGGAAGAAAGGCGAGGGGGATCAGATACATCCCACAACTTTCCCGCGCCTTCCCCATATTATGCTATTCCCAATGTCATATTATGCTCTCTTTATAAGAACAGGTAGTGGTAGGACAAGGAGGCATGGCTTTAAACTGAAAGAAGGTAGATTTAGATGAGATGTGAGGAAGAAGTTCTTCCCTGTGAGGGTGGTGAGGCCCTGGCACAGGTTGCCCAGAGAAGCTGTGGCTGCCCCATCCCTGGCAGTGTTCAAGGCCAGGTTGGATGGGGCTTGGAGCAACCTGGTCTGGTGGAAGGTGTCCCTGCCCATGGCACAGGGTTGGAACTGGATGAGCTTTAAGGTCCCAACTCAAACTATTCTATGATTTTTTTCCCAGGATTTATCCCAGCAGGGCATGGGATGGGGTGGGGGTAGGGCAACTTTCAAGGTCACCAGTTTTGAAACTGATGTTCCATAACCTTGACTCTGTACTGTAAGTGTTACAGTATTTTGCTGATAATCTCAGCCCCTGGCATCATAGATATTGAGGTTTTGTCCAAGGTTTTCTTCAGCTTTTTCTCAGCTTTTCTTTTTTTCAGTGCACATGTGTCAGCAGGTGAAACAGTGAAGGATTACTGCAGGAGTCAAATCAGAAGATTTGGTTAAAGTATCAAACTTTTTAAACTAGGGTCTCATGATGTGGCAAGGGTATATTTTTGCAAGATGGGTTGCTTCCTCCAGAAGATCTGTGGATGACCATTGATGCTCAGTCTATCTTCAGGGTGGATTTATAAGACAAATCAGGTAGACCTCCTGCTGTGGCAGGATGGTCTAGTAAGTAGTGTGCTGTCCTGAGACTATGGTGGCCCAGGTTGTGTCCATGGCTTGGCCATGCATGACCTTTGTGGTCTTCTGTGAATTATTTAAATTGCCATCCATCTCAGCTCCAAAGAGAGGTTTCTCAGACCATGGAGGTGGTTGTTTCAGCTGGTAGATGACTCAATATTTTGTTACCTGGAGGACCTTTCCTGATTCAGCATTGTGGTTTCCACCAAGCTGGGACCTCCCTTGTGCTAGGAGATGAATGAGACCTGGAATTGCCTTTAGAGAGTTGTGGTGGGTTTTTTTTCTCCTCCTGGGTAAATTCAAGTCTCACCATTTCTGAGGATGAACGCTCCTGGGAGCTAGCAAGCATTAGCTGCCCTCCAAGGGCCTTCTCTATGCAGCCTTTTGAAGAACCTCAACCTTTTGCTTCTGAGGCTTTTCCCAAGGACCTAAGCCCCATCCAAAAAAATCACATTCCCTGAAGGCTCCCCATCATGACACAGGGTAAGATTTGTGGCATCTATCTATGCAAGCAGGCACAGCAGCATGCATGCCTGCATGCATGTGTATGTCTTGGCAGTTCTGACTCAATATCCTTTCAAAAAGAGGCCCTGTGGTTAATCAGAGGAACTAACCACAGCCTCTGAAAACGTCCTGCCAGCCAGTCAGCAGGCCCTTCCCAAGACCATTGCTGCTACAACGGTGTCATTGTCTGATGGGAACGTAGATCTTTCTGGTTAAATTTCTGAATGGGTCTCAGGGACACTTTTGTTCAGCTGGACATAGTAATACCTCACAACTAATTAACTACAAAGAATCCTAAACCTGGAGTAGGTTTTTTTTATTTGATTTTAAATTTTCACCATTTTCCAGTTCAACAAGGATCCCTGCTTGGCAGTGGGAAGGGCTTAGAAGGGAAGGAGGTTTTTTTTCCCCTGAAGCTCTCAAATCTGCTTACAGTGGCTTTCTAGTGCCTGCTGCTTGCACAGATATCTAGATATATATATATAAATACACAAATACGCACTAGGTTAATATTGCCAAGTGCACCACTCTACCAATGGAAACCGCAAAGAAACATTCACATATCTGGGGATTCTGATGTAATAGGGCTGAGGTTTCACATTCCAGGACAGCGTTTCCAGCTTCAAATAAAAATCAGAGCTGTCATTCACAGCTCAGCTTTACTAATGTTATTGTAACCCAGTGGGTGGGGTGAGGGAGAAGCGGGAGGAGGGAGAGGAAGAGGAAGCAAAGGGAAAGATGCTGAATTTGTTGGTTTCTTTGGGGTTTATTTCTAATTTCAGACGATGAAAGGCAGTACAAGCTAGGATGGTGGCAGATGTTTTAACCCTCTTCAGGCAGATATTCAGTAATCCCTGAGTTAAGCTGTATGCCCAAGCACAGGATGAAGAAAACCATCTCAGTATTTAATGGAAACCTTAGGGTTTCTAAGACCAACTCTAAAATAAAAGGGGGCCAAGAGAACTAAACCCTGCTACGGGATTAATTACTATAAGCTCTCCTGTGACAGGACCATTTCCAATGGGGCTTTGGCAAGCTAAAGTTGTGTCTGGTTTGGATAACTGCAGTCACTGGCTGCTTCTGATTTAAAAAAAAAGATTAAAGCAGGTGATCTCATATCCCACAGCCAAAACATGTCCTCTCCATGTTTTCTGTGGTGGGTTGATACACTCCCCCAGCATGGACATCGGTCATTCAGCAATGGTATGGCATAGCCTTATGACTAAATTTCAAATTTCCATAAAAAAATCACAGGTCAGTGGGCATTTTGTTCAACCAAAAGTTGCCAAGTGATCTCTGGATTTGGCTGACAGTTTGTAAAGCGCTTTGGGTTCCTTTGGGATGAAAATGCTGCAAAACTCCCAGGCATGGGATTAACCCAACTCCATCAGTTGTCCCTTGCAAAAATCCTGTCTCCCCACAGTCATTAGGAAAAATGAATACTGCTTTTAAAGATGATCTTGCATGAAAAGGTGACAAGACATACGATTGCCAAAGGTTACCCAGACTCCGAGCTGTACACCCCTAGCAAGTATGATAGCCTGAATCTCTGTGCTGCTACCATGGTTGTGTTACGATGCAGTGGGACGCGTTCTAATGTGACGCTATTTTTTCCATCATTTGTACTGCAGGAGGTCTTTGATCGCCTCTATTTGATTTATACTGTTGGATACTCCATCTCTCTGGGATCCCTCACAGTTGCTGTCCTTATCCTGGGATACTTCAGGTAGGCGGCTCTGTTTCTACCTAAGTGAGTTCTCACTAGAATGGAAAAGCCTCAGGCTTTCCTAAAAGATAAAACTGGGGTGGCCTGTGCTTCTTCAGTAAGCCACAAGAGGTTGCATCTGTGCTTCGAGCTGTGTTAGTGGCACATAGGTCAAACTTCTTGGGGGATGGTGGGTGGCATGTCTGAACTTCTTCCTTTTGCCTGCAATTGAGTTTTCTAGACCCTCTCTGCTGCAAAGGCAAAGAGAGGCAACTTCAGGAAGAGGCGTGTCTCACTTGGAAGAGTGTCTGGGGTTTTCTGTCTGTATTACCCCTTCAGATGACTGGCTTAGATTTAGATGGCTAATGTTTAGATAACTAAGGTTTCATAAGGGAAATTCCACTCTAAACCTCAATATTCATGGATAGACCAGTTGAATGGGACCCCATCTAAAAATGACCGCTCATCCTCCTAACTCTGATTGTCTGCCATCCCTTTCCATCACCCCTGCCAGGTGATGTAGACCCCTAGATACATCTTGAACTCACACCACACTTTCCTCAAGCCTGGTTGCTGCATCTTCTTGCTGCCACAGAGACCATGGGATGTAATGAATGAAAGGAGTCGCTCATGGCTAGAAGTTTGTCCTTTGGAAAACCTTACCTGATGAGCTGCAGATAGAGCGGGTGCTGACCCTTGATCCCCCAAGTCCCAGATTTGCTTCCCTTCCGTGGCTGGCAGTATCTTCTCCTAGCAGACAGCAGGACCCAGACAACAGCTGTGAAGAGAAATTCTCCACACAGCAAACGACCACGTGGTGTCTTCAGATAGATAGACTCAGTAGCTCCCATCATGAAAGCTCAAGCTAAGCCCCAGACACATACCAGTGGGAATAAAATGTGTGGCCTTTGGCACTAAAAGTGCTCAGGCATCTCTGTGAACAAATGGAGGTCAAGGGGATTTACTTGTATAGCAGAGCATCCCAGCACCTGAATCTGTGACACACTAGAGCCAAAGGGGACTGCAGATCCCTCCTGGAGACACTTCATGTGATGTAGTCCCAGAATCCATTCCTGCCACCACCCTTCTGTCCTCTCCACCCATTCCCTTCTGTTTCATTTCCCACTGGACAGTGGCAGGTTGTTCAAATATTTAATGTTCATGTATGGGAGAGTACTCCTAGTTTCAGGAGACATACTCTGTCTTTATTCATGTAGTCAGGGTTCTCCATTTACAGCCCAGACTACGTGTGCAACTGTGCTAAAATGTCTTTGTCCCAGGGATCAAAGCAACAGCAGGGATCATAGCAGATTTTATTCCAGGTAACACATAATCCAGAAACTCAGTGATCACCTTTCAAATGCAGGGAACAAAGCCCATCTTCTTTTTTACTTTGACTTTTTATTTCCATTTTTGGAGCTGGCGATTTAAGTGGGTATGAATTTATTCCTGCATGGTAAGCCAGGCAACTGAGCTATAGAGCACAGAAGGGGACTTCAACAGGTCAGTCAATTATTTCTTCTCCTCAAAGGCGTGACCACTGTTTCTAAAACACACCTCATAAATACAAGCCTAACCCATTCATTTCTTACCACCCGGCTTTTCCCCGAAAAGGATCTTAAAGCGCTTTACAATCAGCATTTGGGGTCATTGCTGCCATTGCTGGGGTGGAGCCCAGAAACTGTTCAACATGACCAAGCAAAGGATAGCATCTCTAACTGAAACAAGAAAGCAGCCGAGCACCCTATAGTAACTGTTATAGTTGCTACTAAATTTGGAGTGGGCACAAAGACTAGCAGTTTACAAGAACCTCTGGAAGGTTTTTAGTGACCACGGGAGCTCTAGCCTTTGTAGTTCATTTCCTCTATGCAAAGTGCAGATAAATGTGAAGTTTTCAAATGCAGGGTTTGACTCTGAGAAGGGTGTATCTGTTGGAGGGATGGATTTAACAGTGAAAGGGACACACACAGGCTACACACTTTAGTATCGGTGACCACTGTGCATGTATCCTGCCTTCTGTCTATACATCTTGCAAAATGACTGCATGTCTGATGCACACTCATTGCACGTACACTGAGCACCAGGGACATGCCTGCCATGCACACACTGCACAGCTATTGTTGGCTCACTGAAAACACATTGCACACCAGATGTACATTCCCTGGATGTACCCTGCATACTGGATGCATGCTAACTGCACATACCCTACGCATCAGCTGCGCATCTACTGCATTTGTCCTGATGTTCACCAGATGTGCCAGCACTGCACACGTGCTTTATACAGATGCACCTCTCACTGCTTCCAGGTGCATGCACACTGCACACACACTGCACTCCAGATTTGCATACACTGACTATGGACTGTGTACCACATACCTTCCTGCAGCTGCATGTGCACTGTACACACACCATCCTCCAGATGTAGACTCAATGCCCGCACTGCCCGCTGCATGCATGTTCACTACCCATGCCTGACACAGGCAAAATTCAGCCCCATTTCTCTGCAAGATTTCACAGCCAGAAATAAAGGAGTTTAAATGAGTACAGGCACAGCATTGTCCTAATGCAAAGTCAGCAGCAGTGTGCCGCAGCCAAAACCCTGGAGATATTAATTCATTTACCAACCCCATGGGTGAACTGTGAGCACAGGGTAGCAGTGGCACTAGCAGTGCTTCCCATGGTAGCACAGTGCTGATGAGAGGAGCTGGGGCTCTTCAGAAGCACAGGTGACCCCTGAGACAGTCCAACAGGTGGTCTAAAATACTCCAATCCTTCTCTGTCTCCTCCTCCAGACGTTTGCACTGCACTAGAAACTACATCCACATGCACCTGTTTGTCTCCTTCATGCTGAGAGCCGTGAGCATCTTTGTGAAGGACGCAGTCTTGTACTCTGGGTCAGCTTTGGAGGAGATGGAAAGGATCTCAGAGGAAGACCTGAAATCCATTACTGAAGCACCTCCAGCAGATAAATCACAGTTTGTGAGTATCACCGGAGCAGACTGTTTGCCAGGCTTCGTGCCTGTGTCCTCTCTGTTGAACACCTGGCCACTTTCATGTGGACTTTCCATGCTACTGAGGGACACCAGCTCCCCCTCTTTCCCTCACTCTCCATAGCCTCTCTCCATCCCTTCCCACTCCCTCTCAAAGAAGGGTGGTGTTACCCCACTGTGCCAGAAGGACAGGAGAGCCCTGAGTTGCAGTCAGGGTTTTCCTCTCATGAAAGCAAAGGATTCCAGGTCACTGTGGAGTGAGAGGTCAGCTTATGAACCTATTAAAGATTAGTATGTCCTGGGAGTCTCTACCAGGTCTCCTATCTTGCTGCTTAGGTCTGTTCGGAAAACACCTTGACACTGTGGTTGAAATAGCCTTGGAGGACCAGTCACCAAAGCCTACAGCAGCCACCTAGTGTCTTCACAGTCATTGAGGGAAGACAGGCATCCCTGAAGGACCCTGTCTTGGATGGTCACAACAGGATGGGATAACTCACCTTCAGCATGGTGCCCATATCTCTGAGGAGGGATTCGTACTTCCAAGTGATGTGACTTGCATCAGGTCACCCAGACCAAGGCTACAGCCCTTTCCTCCCTAACATAGACAAGAGACACAGGGAAAAGATGAAACACGGCTGCCTTTGAAAGTGTGTGTGACCCTCACCACTGGGATTGGGAAAGAGTAGGATGAGGTTAACATCTCCATAAGTGCCTTGTACTGCTACACCTCCCAACTCACCTGCTATTGAACACATGATGTCAAGCTGAGGGGAAGCTTTCTTCTCAGTTGATCATCTCTTCTGTTCTTGCACTGATTTTTCCCCAGTGTGAAAGCCCCGGAACAGAATTTTCTGATTTTTTTCCTTTCTCCATCTTGTTTTCCATCCCATTTTTGTAAATTATGGTTTTATGCAGAACAAGAATTTTACACTGTATGCCTCACGTAACCATGTCTTTCTGTGGTCATTGCAGGTAGGCTGTAAAGTAGCGGTTACCTTCTTCCTTTACTTCCTGGCAACCAATTACTACTGGATTCTGGTGGAAGGGCTCTATCTCCACAGCCTCATCTTCATGGCATTTTTCTCAGAGAAGAAATATCTTTGGGGATTCACATTATTTGGCTGGGGTAAGTTATGGCTTCTCCTTACAGCTGATCTGTAAGAAGCTTGTTGGAGGTGTCTTTGAAGCAGATAGCACATATACATAAATATAAGAGAGAGGAGAGAGACAGGGTAAGCACCAGAGACACAATGACTCTTGCAAGGACAGGTTAGCTCTCTTGTGAAACCATTATCATTTCTGAATTATCATATTTAAACCGTGGCACTTCCAGGATTTCTGGAAGGATCAGCCCAAACTTGGAGTGACAACATACCTTGCCATTCTTCCAGGGCAGCAAATGTCTGCATGTGACAGCTGATTGTAGTGCACCTTCTTAGTTATCCCCATCTCTGCCAAGTGCCTCCTGCTGAGAAACGGGCACTGGGCTGGAGGGGCAGAAAGTTGCATGAGGCTGTGAGCATCTGCTCCCAGTGGCAGACCTAAGCTCTGATTTCCTGCTTCATATCTCAGTTGCTTTAAAAACCTCCTGAGGTTTCATGAGTGTTGGAACACCAGGAGAAACCTGCAATCTGTGGGGAAGACTTTTCTTTTTCCTTTTCTTCTAACCTGGGCATCTTTTCCCTGGAGTAAGGAAACAGGAGCAGGATGTGGGTGCAGGGAGGATGCTCATTAGCAAAATACTTTGTGGGCACACATATCTCAGAATGTGCTTTCTGTTCACTTCTGGCATTAGCCTTGGCTTGCAAGGAGTTATGAGGTGCTGGTAAGCTGCGGACAATATAACAACCGCCCACAGTTGTCTGAAGTGTGTGGACTATAAGGGATAACAGGAAGCATATTACGAAATCCTTGAGGATATAACTAAAAATAATGGGGTGTAAGCCTACAAAGGACTTTACAGCAGGAAAGAACTGTTCAGAGGTGTCTATGGTTATCTCTAAACTGTATGGCATAGGACCACTTCCCCAAAAAAGACCAAAATGTACTTGGCCACATCCTGACTGCATTTTAGGGCAAGATTAATGTGTGCACCACACCATCCACATTCCAGAACATGATTTCTTCTGGAAGAAAACCATTCTCTAACAGTGGAGTTCTGAGCAAACCAGTTAGTGCAGAACTGAGTTTAAGGAGAACTGGAGGGTTTTGCTTTGGGAGAGCAAGCAAAGGATTCAGTAACACAGGGCAGTCTAGCCTGCAGGACTCTCTTCAGCTTTTCTCTTTCCAAAGTGTCATATGGGCAAGAAGGGGACCAGAAGCTCCTTACTAACCTCACGTTCAGCTGGTGTATAGGTCAAAAACTGATGGTGCTGTCATATGATAAAGATGGGAGGTGTAAATATGAGTCCCAAAGTGGACATCCATTTCTCAGGCAAAGTCTAGTCCCAACCAGTTGGTAGGTACCCGTAGAGTACTGAAGCACAAGAGGGCCACAGAGAGCCTCAGAGGGTGCAATGAAGGCTGAATAGATTGGGATTTAAAATCCCTATCTTCACAATTTCTGTAGAAATCTGGGGGCGTGAAGTATATGGATGGTGGAAACCCCTTGCCACCTTGGGAGCTGAAATAGACAATCTTTCCAGGTCACATCCAACACAAACCATTCTATGATTCTGTGTGTGATTCTGTGAAATATTTTGGAGACCGGGCGTTTCTTACTGCAGTCGCAGAGAGGACTTTAGATGTCACCTCTTTTTTTAAAACAAATGAACAAAAAACAAATCCAGAAAAACCCCAAACTCACCCTCTTCCAAACCTTCAAGGTACATAAAATTTGCTTCTCAGAAAATGGCATTAAACTATACAGAGCAGACATAAAAAAAAGCAATTCCCTAGAGCAAATTCTGGAAAAAAGGGAAACAGCTGGAAAATAATGCCATATGTTTAACAAGAAAAACCAATTTGATGGTACTCATAATGCAGCCAAAGGAAAACAGTGTAACAGGCATGGTTTTCTCTCATTAATTCTTCCAGCCACTGCCAGAGTATAATTGTTTTATCAGAGCAACCACAAAGCTGAAGTCACACCTGTCACAACACCAATCATCCATGTGCTCCCAAAAGTCTGAGGCTGCTCAGTTTAAATTCCTCTGGAATGAGAACATAGGATTCCTACAGTTGCATTCAGTTTTGCTTTGTTTTGATTAGCATGATAATGTACACACACACACACACACACATGTATTGTTTTGATAGGTTCTGGGCACTTAAAAGGGTAACCCAATCCAAGACCCACTGGAGAAAGTGGAAGAACTCCAGTTCCCTGCAGTGGGCACTGGATCCTGCCCGTACCACAGAATGAATAACATGGAATCAGTGATAAATAATGATAACCTTCCACATAGGTACAGAAAAGACAAGTTTGCCCCAAAAGCTCTGATTTGTTTGTTTGTTTGTTGCATAACAATAAACAGTGGTGCCTGGAAATTTCCAAGATGGGAGCAAGGAGCAAAAATCACCCTACAACATCTTATTTCCAGACTACTGAAGAAACCAGAACATATAGTTACCCTTTGATGTCACACCCAAAGATTTCTGTTGAGTCTTTTCCATCCACATCCTCACTAGCACAAGGGAGAACAGCTCCTTGAAAGTCTGCAGCACCCTTCTTGCAAGGGAGACACTGATGACAGAAAGGAGCTTGTTCCTTGCCAGCATCCAGTAAAAATAAATAAATAATGATATTATGGGCAACAATAAATTCCCCAGCAGACTTCAAGCTCCCTGCAGCTGTTTTATGAAGGAAGTCTAAGAAGCATGACCAATAGCTAGAAAACCCAAGCTGATTCCACTGGCATTTTTCCTTCACACCGTGTTAATTCACTGCCACTGGCTGGACTGCACTGGCTTGCAGCTATGGTGCAAATGAGGATTGCAGGAAGACCTGAAAAGACAGATATATCGATGTGGTACTGTTAGAGGTGCTCAGGTCCCAAACCCCCATGATAGTGAACCCTGAATGTTTATCTAAGCAGAAATCATCCTTGACTGAAAGGATTCATACCTAACAGGATAAGAGGCAAAAGACAATATTATAAGCTCTATTTAATATTAAGAAACTGTGACACAGGGAAGCAGAAAAAACACATGCATTGTTCCTCAGAGAGGTTTTCAAATAGCAGGGGACTGAGACCAGATTTTTGTAGACCTACATAAGGTCTTTATTCATAAGCTTTCTTCTAGCAGTTGCTTTGCAGCCACCTCCCTTACTCACAGCTTTGACACAAGCACATTAAGCCACTTTTCCAGCTGCTAGCAGACATGTACACCAGAAAAGCAACAAAGCAAAGCAAGGGGTTGGAATGGCCACCAGACTTTGCCTAGCTTGAGGTTTGCACATTTTCCATCTGCTGGGGAGATACCTGACTTTATAGCACCTGCATTGTACACACTGTGTGTATTGACTGGAAATGCACAGCGCATACAATGTGGATTCTGTAGAAGTCACGCACAGCATCACCGCCCGGTGGGGTTCATCCTGTGTCACACTGGTCGTGCACATGGGGTACATAAGTGCAAGGGGGAGAACACACGCATCCATCCACACCTGCATCTGTGTGTTCACAGCCACCGAGGAGATCACAGGGTTTTTGGTGACTTGCTTTCCCTTCTCTGGTGAGGTGGCCAGATACATTTAAACATGAATTACTTTCCTGCTCACAGAGCTGCAACCTCTCAGTTTTCTTGCTGTTTCCAGATATCCTTGGATGTCTGGCTTTGAGGACTTCAGTCCTGATTTGGGGGTTAATGGTTCTCCCATCAATGAGTGCTATGAGTGTTCAGCAGGAGGGACTGTCAATCTTGGGGCAGCAGAGACCAGAACTCTCAAATGAAGACAGGAGAAAGTCAGTTGTCACCCTCTGAAAGTAAAAGACGTGCCGGAGGCAAAGCTAAACATTCTGAATCTTCATGTTGAAAGACTAGCTTACCATAGTGGAAGAATTAGATCTAGAAATCACCTGACATCCCAAGCACTCCATGATATGTTGATGTAGAAAGAATCTAAACATGAGGCAGAGGAAAAGGAGAGGATTCATACCATTTTTTGTGAATTAAAAATCCTTCATGATTGTTAACACTGCAAAAGAAGAACGATGTAAGAGACACAGAAAGACAAACGTAGCAATAAAACCGGTGCCAGGAATTCACTTGGTGTGTTTTGCAGAAAATATCAAGGATCCTTTTCCTAAGCTTGCCTGAGCGAAATGACGCAGCAGCACACAGGGAATTTTTTGAGGAGTAAACCAACAATAAACCCACACATAGGGATTTTTTTAGGAGTAATTATTTTCTTCTGTATATTTTATTGTCGCTAGGAACCTTGAACACAGCACAGGATTAGTACGAATGGGGACAGTATCTCTTCTGAAGTGCAGGACAGGTCAGAGAGGAACGAGCACATGTCAAACACATCCAAATCTCTGAAACAGTCTTTCAAACTTAGAGCTTCACAATAGTGGGTGAACACCTACTGTCTTGCAGGCAGGCAGCAGGCATGTCAGCCTCTCAACACAGCCAGTTTCTCAGTTGATATAAACTGGAATACCATCAGTGATATCAGCACAGTTACATGCACTTAAGCCTTTGATATCTCAGCCACTAGTCTGGAGCATGCACGTATTTTTCATAGATAGGAGATTAACAGTGAGGAGGAAACAGACAGTGTTTGTTACAATAAATCATCACCCTCCCCAGGCCCTAGGCTTCATCACGCTCATGGGTTCCCAGTGCAATAGGTTAAGTATTTTCTTTCCAATGCCAGCCATTGCAGGGGATTGTAGAGAAGGGTACATTCCTTATAAATGTATCTTTGTAGGCAGCAGAGCTGCAGTGGTCCTGAGTGAGGCTCTGTGTTTAATTATTTATGCTTTCTTATATTACCATGGCATTTAAAGTTTGAACCAAGATAACGGCCCCGTTGTCCATGTGTGTATGAGGCAGGCATCCCTGCTCCACACCCCAGCTCAGGAAAGCGCTCGTGGTCAGGAAAGCCTTTAAGCACCCTAATGAGACTTAAGTGCATGCTGAAAGTTAAGCGTGTGCTTATGCATGCCGAGCCCCAACGAGCTTAGACTGTGAACAGCATATTTACAGTCATCAGTGATAAATGTCGCCTTTATTTATTTTTTATTTTTTTTCTCACCTGAAAGGGGCTATTCTTCTTGAATTTGTGGAAGCTACTGTGGATCTGATCCTGCCTTGTAAGGGAAGCCAGTAGGGGACTCAGTTGTACAAATAAAGCAGAACTGGACCCTAAAAAAATAAATAGAAGGTTGCATTTGGTTATTGGTGATTCTTCACCTTGTCACAGGGAAAAGATGAAGCCCAGTGTAACTGTGCTGAAATAAGGATGGTTCATTTGGGAGTGAAACTTTGACTAGAATATTCTGCAAGCATTACTCTAAATTCTAGCATTTATCTGCTTCATGCAGCAAGTCTCTCACTCTTAATAAGCTTCTAATCCATCCAGCCCTGCGCTGGGAGAAACAGTCTGAGCTTGACTCCAGATACACCTTTCTTTGATGTCAGGGGAAGGGAATAAAAACCTTGGGAAAGGTGTGCTGCATTAAACCCTTCTCTGCTTCAAATGGAATGAGTGGGCTAGAGCAGGTATCAGTTACCCAGGTGCAAGCACTGCAGGTTGTGTATCTATAAAGTAGCATTAGAGAAAGGCACGGGACATGATGATTTATCCTGTCAAGTCCACCACTATCCCAGGTGAGACCACATGGCTATCTCCCAAACACAGACCAGGAGGTAGCTTAAGCCTGAACCACTCCTGGGATTTTGGAAAACTGTTTCAAAAGCCAGGAGAGTTCAGTGGGGTGGACATGTCCAGACTATGACATTTGCCTTCCAGAAAATGTTCCCTGCCACTGTTTGGTTTACCATTTGGCCTACAGAAGAGACATGACACCAAGATCAAGTATTCCTGGTCTAATTATGCTTAAATATTTAAAATTGATTCTTCCACCTTCCTCTATCCCACTCCACCTGGGCTTATGCTAATGGACCCCTCCAGTCCCCCTTCTCACCCCGTTTGACCTGTGTTTTTTTGCAGGACTCCCGGCTGTATTTGTTACAGCATGGGCCAGCGTGAGAGCCACTCTAGCCGACACAGAGTAAGTTGCATTGTGTTTTCTTTTCTCTCTTTTACAAGTGTTTTTGTGTTTTCTTTCTCCCTCTTCTCTGGCAAAGCCAGAAGAGATTCCTACCATGAAGTTAACAAACTTCTGTGGGTAAGTGTGGCAGGGAAGGACAAAGTGGGTGCAACTTTCCCAGCTTTCCTTTCATTTTACAGAATGTGATAAATGTGAACACTTGCAGCTGTTATCCCTGGGGCTAAAGCCTACTGCTTTACAGCTAGGCAGGGACAGGACAGGGATCATTAAAATCCTGAATGAATGGGAATGAAGTTGAGAGATAACAGGCTCAGCGCTGTGTTTATGAGGTGGGGAAGCTGTAACTCCTCCCTGCAGGAGGTATGGATGCCAGCATGTCCTTAAGTTTAAAAAGCATTTGTACAAATTCATGGAAGATAAATTTCTCTATAAACCTTAGTTACTCTGTAATGCTCTGGCTCAGGAAGCCATCCTGAACAGCAAATTGTTGGAAGAAAAATCTAGAAAAACATTACTACCTGCTTAGGTGGAACTGCTGTTCCACCCTAAATATCAGCTTCTGGGTGCTGTCAGAAACAACATACAGATCAGCTGCTTCTTTAGTTCTACACATGCACCCTCATGGCTTCATATTCTTACAGTGCTGAATGAAGGTTCCAAGCATTCAACCCTCAAACCCCCAAACAATCACATTTTCTCCCCATGATGCACAGGCTTGACCACACAACAGGTTTCACCAGCCCATGATCCGCCAGCAAAAGTGTGGGGTCCCCAGGTTGCTTTTCAAATGGCTTTCCCTAGGAGGACACTGGTTTCCAAATGGGATATCAGCTTCAGGCTTGGAAGGATGGAGTAGCACAGCTACCGAGGTCTGACACATCTGCATTGGCACAGGCTTATCCTCGTCTTTCAGTCAGCACTGGTGGTTTCTCTGCCCCTGCCTCTCGCTTTCCTTGAATAGCTGCCTGGGCAGTATTTGGCCAGTGAAATAAAAACTGCAGCTGCCCTGTGGGGGCTGTCTGGCTCAGATAAAGAAAAGCCTGTGGCACTCCTCTCTCTGTGGTTGGAGAGAATTCAGAGTAATTAACACTGAGTGACCTTATTTAATAGCTGCTGGAAACTCCTGGGAGGAAATAGTGTTCAGCCCCTTCTTGGCAGACGGAATAGCCCAATATCCATGCCACCAACAGTTTGCCCTTCCAGTCTTCTCTTGGATAAGGGCTAAAAATGAAAAGGAGATAAAGGCTTTTGTGAGGCATGGCTGGGTCTCATTGCAAGAGCAGGGCTGAAGAAAATCCAGAAACTGAATGTAGAACCACAATGTTGTCCCCACCACCGTGTCTTCAGACAGGACCCATGCAACATGGTGCAGGTTTATTTCAAGGGGTAATATTTGGCCATTTCAGCCTCTTGTTTTCATGAAGACTGTAGTTTTTTATAGTTAAGAAGGTGAAGAAGTGGAAAAGGGTGGGTTCCTGCCCAGAAGCAGGAATAAGTCTTTATGTCTGTGAAAAGACCTGTTCCACCATCTGGAGAGCATAACTTTAAATGTGTCTAGTAGTGATTTCTGTTTTGTATATTATAACAGCAGGAGAAGGGCCTAATTTCAAAGCCATGATAACTGAAGGCAGGGATAGAGCTAAGTCCTTCCACCACATCAGGCTTTGGAGGAACCCATTCTTTCAGGGTGGATTTATCCAACAGGACCCTTGACTCTATTGCTCTTTGTAACCAATGGTTTCCTGATGGGATGTCAATCTTTTCTCAGGTGTTGGGACTTGAGTGCTGGCAATTTAAAATGGATTATTCAGGTGCCCATCCTGGCAGCTATCGTGGTGAGTAATGGGTGATTGCAAGGGAAGAGTTGAGCCAGACTTCCCTACTCTAATCACCCTGTTAACACAGCTCCTGCCTTAATACTATGGAGTCTCTATATATCCAGTTTAAGGGATTTATATTCGACCTGCCTCTAAGCTTGATGGCTGCATACTGCAGAGGGCTTATGAGCAACTTCAAGTTTTGCTTAAGGGAGAAGAATGACACAGGAGTAAGATGCTAAAATCATTGGTTAAACACATATTCAAGCCAATATTCCCAACCCATGTGATACAGGGGGAACCCCTCAGGGTTCGTAGCATGTTCTCAGCAGGAATCTCCAGTGGGAAGAACTGGAATTTGAGTTCCATAACTAGACCAAACCTTTTCGCCAGTCATGCTTCAGTGTCATCAGATTGTCTCAGACAATCTTTCTGAACTGATAAAGCTTTGGAAAACTCAAAGGCAGGGATGGAAATTAAACCATCCCAGCTATGATTGGACACGGTGATAATCACTGATGGAGGATTACTTCAGCCCCCACCCAACAACCACAGGGAACAGAAAGGATGTAAGTAACATTACCCAGAAAAAGGACTGAGCTCTCACAAGCTGAAGAACTCATTATAAGATGCAATTATCTGCACAAAGGTAATTTGATGGGTAGTGTGTGTTTACAAGAGCAGGGCCCTAATTAGCTAGAGAACCTGCTTTCATAGTTTCCTTTAAATACCTTTTCTTCCCCCTCAGTCTCTATGGTTCTCCATTACTCTATCTTCTGATGGTTACATGAGAGCATGCAGAAAAGCTTGTCCACTCCCACACATCCTAGGTCTCTTTACATTCATCCATGAATCTCTCTACAGTTTTCAGAGGGTTTTGCATCAAGCTGTATATAATCCCTTACAATTCACACATCAGGAAGCCTTAGAAGATGATCAGTGTGGGTGAGAGAAAAATCAGACCATCTGCATACAAACAGCAGGAAAGTTTCTGAGATGAATGTGATCAAACATGTGATTAAGTGAGCTGCTTTGGAGTTGGGGGCCTTTTTTCTTCACCAGAATTTCCTTTTGGTGGAAATTCTCTACCTGGCTGTAGCAAATCGTTCTGCATCTTGGAAGAAAAAATCACCAAGCCCACATTGTAGTCACTAGAAATGAAATAGTAGGATGGAGAACGAAGTTCAGATAGTTCAACTAGATGAATGCCAGCAACCCCATTGCATTTAATTTAAAGCTCAATTAGCAGAGGAGAAAGAGCTCAATTAAGGCTTGTCCTTGTAAAAACAATGTTTCTCCAGGAGGCTCTGCTGTGCTTGTACCCTGGCTATTTGCAAATGCAGCTATTTATCATGCAAAAATATTCTGTGGGTTGTTTCTGTTTAATTTCTGTGGGTTCATATTGTTCACTTGGCTGCCTTTTCAATTCCCACACTAGCTTGTCATATGTTGCTGGACTAACTTCGGCATTTTCTGGATGTAGTGCAGAGAATTTGGAGGCTGAGGGGCTTAAAATCCATCCATTCTGCTGGTAGCTTTGATGTTATTCAGTAGTCTGGATTTCTTTTGAAACTTAGCACTTTTCAGGAAGTCAGAGGAGTTTCCCTCTTGACTGTGATACAGTTGGACATCTTCAATTTAGCCAACAAACACAGAACAAAATCCCACTTTTGAGCTTCTGAAGCTAGAAAAACTCATATGAGAAACAAAGCCTGCCTTTTTTTTCTTTTCTTTCCCTTTCAGATTAATTTCCAATGAAAATTAATTAAATGCCCCCAGCTGTATGCTTCTCTGCCTGTCAGTCTATCCATCTCTCCCTTATAGCTTTTGTGCCAATCAGTAAATTTCAACCAAAAAGTACGAAGGGAATGGGGTTGCATGGCTGTTAAATTCCCACAAACCTCATGAAAACAGTTGAGTAGATATGGGAGAGAAATTCTACTAATGCCCCTTCAAGGGAATGGGTGTAGTACAACCTTACCTCCTTTTTAACACAGAGGAGAGCTGTTCAAAATGAACTTGCACCTCGTTAAAGGAGAAGGAATCCAGCCACAGAAGACAAAGCCATAGCAAACCAGGCCATGTTCACTCAGTGGCTCAGGGAACTACTTGTTTTAATAGTGAGGATAATTAAACGTTGGAACGACTTAGCAATGGTTGTGGTAGGATCTCCGTCATGGAAACACTGAAACCCAGATCTGCTATAACTCAAACAAAAATTAATACAAGGAGGTCTTATGGACTGCATTTTGCAGGAGATCAGACTAGAAGTTCACAATGGTCCCTTCTGGCATAAAACTATGAGCCTGTGTGTGGCATGGCAAGTTGTTTCCCTGAAATGCCACTATACTGGCATCTGAGAAGTCAAATGACTGCTGCAAGCTTCAAAAGAAACCCATAGGCATCAGCATTAGCCCAGCAATACGGATCAGCCCAGTGGACAGTTACACAATGGTTCTATTTATGGCCTTCCATAGTCCCAAAAACAGGATAGTCTGTGACAGCAGCAGATGTAAACCCAGCCCTAGTGAAACCAATCTCTGAAGAGCTCCAAAAAGCTGAGATTCCCTCAAACATGTTCTCATTTCCCCCCTCTGGTAAGCGGCAGTGTAGCCATAAAATGGTGCCATTGCCTTTTGCAGCACAGGTCACCATGAGCATGTTCCTGTAGGACTGGATTAGCTCAGTTGAGCAGCTGGCCACAAGATGGGCTCATAAAGGTGGCTCCCTGAGTAGGAAATAGGCATTACTTACTGTCCTTATCTAGTCCATACTAAACACTCCTCCAGAGGAACAGTTAGCAGTGTACCTAGAACAGAAGTTTTACACTTCTGTCACCTTTCTGCATTCTTGATCTGTTGTGTCTAGTTAGGGATACTCTATGTCTTTGTCATGGTGCAGTTTGCTTACTCTTCTTTCCTTTTACACAAGAAAATATGAAAAGGCATCTTACTAATGTTTCTTTCACCAGAGGGTATCTAATTCTTGGGTGGGCTGCAAGAGACAAATGTAACTGTGTTTCAGTCTGCTCCTTAGACACCAAGCTATGTTTGAGAGATTTACAAGGCTATGAAAATGACCCATATTTCTGCATGGAGTTTTTAAAAAAGATGATGTGAAAAATACTGACAGTTGTCTGTAGTCCAGGCCTCAAAATGCCTGATAAGCACTGCCTTATATACTGATATCCAGTTATCAGGTGTCTGCCAGGCTAGCTAGCCCAGATGTAGGTGTACCCATGTGAGATGGCCACACCTTGTCAGAGACAGCTATTCCCTTCTCTCTCTCAACCATTCCGGTTGAACACAGCTGACTAGATCCCATCAAACCCTTTGGGTTCTTCCCTGGGGAGCTCATCCTTTCCACAGGACAAGCTTCCCCAGAAGGAGCTTTTCACACAGCATGATCGAGTCACTGCCACAGCCCCTTGACTCACCTTGGGGAAAGTATTGCCTGAACAGCATTACCATTGACTGCATCTTTATTAACAGTTATCCTTTCTTTGTTGTGTTCTTTTCCCTACCTCTTCCAGGTAAATTTTATTCTTTTTATCAATATTATCAGAGTCCTAGCAACCAAGCTACGAGAGACAAATGCAGGGAGGTGTGATTCAAGACAACAGTACAGGTGAGTCACATACCCCTTCCATGTTTGGGGAGACGTCAAAGTCTTTGTTTCACCCCTTGGCTAGAGAAGGAGCCTAGGGTGTCTAGTTAAGAGTGTCTACACTGTAGACACCTAAACTAAGGTGAAACATATGCTGTCTTCCAAGTCCGGTAATGCAGAATGAATCAACAGCAGTTCAAACATCTCCTAAACCTTTCAAATCCAACCTGGGGGACCTGCCTTGTAGTTTAAAGAAATGAATTCAGTCTCCAGCCAATTCGGCCTTGAAACAAAAGTTCAAAAATAAAAGCATTGCGCTTGCTGTTGGAGTCCCTAAAACTTGTATCAGTTTATTTATTTTTTTCATTTCTCTCCTGTGCTTTGTAAAACTCGGTCTCTTTGTTAAATCTGCATTTCAGCAGATGTTCCAGTGCCTTTGCTGAAAGGAAGAAAGGATTCCTGACTCTTTGCTGGAAACCTGGCATATCCCTGCTTGTTTTATTTTCCTTTGTTCTGCCAGCTCTTCTCTCTTGATAATTTAGGATATTTGTAGCATGGTCAAAACTGGACAGAAAAAGCAGATTGTTGAGACACCTTGGCTGTTTGTTTGCTCCCAAGACTTCTTGTAATCTCCTGAGCTTGACTGACCAGCATGACCAGCAAAGGCGGGGAGTGGGGGCAGAAGGATTTGGGATGCAAACCATGAGCTCATTGCTACCATCTCACTCTCCAAACACAAGACGTTTCATTTGAAGCAGGAATGAGATTTGGCAGGAAAACACCTCTCTATTTTGCTTTGCTGCCCTGTCAGGGCTCTGATTTATCTATTTGTTTATTTCCTCCTGGCTGAAGCTTGCTATTAATTATGGTTTGGATGCAACCTTCTCCTTTTAATATGATAATTCCCTCAGTGGTTTCCAGTTGCTGGACAGAGGAGGTACCAGGTCTTTCTGGTAATGATGTCTGCCCTTCTCAGTCATTGCCTGCACTTGGTGACTTGCTGTAACTCTTGGCAGAATGTTTAATCCTTCAATTAATATCACTTCCAGGCAAGGCTGGTTCCCTCAGGAGCAAATGCAGCCAAGTACTCAGGGTTGCACTGTACCTCCCCCCAGTCCCTAGCACACGTCCTCTGCTGAGGTGGAGCTGCTTCTTTAAAAAGGGGCTTTCTAAGTGAGATGGCAGTCCAGAGCACCTCCTGAGAGTGTTCACCATGCTCACCCTGTAGTGCACTGTCTTCTCCCCCTTGATATCTAGAGGAATTCTGCCCCTAGATGCACTTCCCTCCCCACCAGCCCTGCTCTTTACAGGAGGCGCGAACCCAGGGTGGACCTCTGTGTCTTCCCTCAATAAACAGGCTCAATCACAGAATCACAAAGTGGTTGAGGTTCGAAGATACCTCTGGAGGTCATCCAGCCAAAGCCTCCCTGCTCCAGCATTGTCAGTTACTGTAGGTTGTAGAGGACCATGTCTAGTTGTCATAAGCTGAAGCAGACCATCCTTTAGAGACAAACTGACTTTAGGGAAAACAACTAAAAGAGTGTAAATTTAGACTGAGTATAAAGGAAGTTCTTCCCTGTGAGGGTGGTGAGGCCCTGACACAGGTTGCCCAGAGAAGCTGTGGCTACCCCATCCCTGGCAGTGTTCAAGGCCAGGTTGGATGGGGCTTGGAGCAATCTGGTCTAGTGGAAGGTGCCCCTGCCCATGGCAGGGGGTTGGAACTGGATGAGCTTTAAGGTCCCTTCCAACCCAAACCACTCCATGATTCTATGATGACAAGGGGATTTAGTGCCAGTCAGAGTCTGAGTGCTGGAAGCAGCAGCACAAATTTCTTTCTAGTCACCTTTCCACCCTGTACCCACGATCCTGAGCCAAAGACAGGGATAGTCTGAGGCTGAAAAAGACATCTCAGAGTCTTAACCTCCAGTACATATAGCGTCACATGGTGACATGTATGTGCAGAAGGTTAGACTAGCACATCAACACATGCCTGAGGGTGGACTGGGTTGTGTCACATGCCATAAGAGAAGTAACAGTTTGAAACAGCAGGGGAGCACAGTGCCTGTGTAAATGTAAGATATCCAAACCTTGTCAAGGGGACATGTAAGCAGATATGAAATTACATTCAGCTTGTGCCCAAGGTATGAGGTGGACAAGTTTGACTGGGAGGTTTACTCCACCCACTAATCTCCTCTGTGTCTTTCTCTCTTCTTATTGCTATAGGAAGCTGCTGAAATCTACCCTCGTCCTTATGCCTCTATTTGGCGTTCACTATATTGTTTTCATGGCTATGCCATACACAGATGTGTCAGGGATTCTTTGGCAAGTTCAAATGCACTATGAAATGCTGTTCAACTCTTTCCAGGTACTGTAACTGTTAAAGTATGGGGAAGAACTGAAAGAATTTCAGTGGGGTGGGAAGAGAAATGAAAGTGTAAGGTTGTCTTTGGAAGCAGGGCTGTTTTTACAATACACCAGATTTCATTCACAAGGTGATTTGACAGTATTTTAGCATCAGCTATGTTTTATATTTGCTAAACACAACATATAAAGGCTCAGTGTGTTCAACAAAAAAATGTTCCTGCTGAAAGATAACTTGCCCCACAGAATAAATCCCTTTAAATCCAGGTTAGACGTAAGCTGGTAGAGATCCACAGAGACATGTTGTTTCAAATTAGCTTCCATTTTGCTTGTCCCAAAGTTGTCTTTCAGTCCTGTGAATGGATTCCTCAGTTTTAGGTTTGAGCAAAAGGCAGGTTCAGTTACAGGACTGGTCCTATACAAGACACAGCAGCAAGAATACGTAACCCTCTACAAGCAAAGCAGTCTTTGATTGTTACTGCACACCTTTCCCTGAGAGATTAACTTCTGGTTCATATGCTACTACCTATCGTCGTGGTTGACCAGTGTGGATGATGACATGTGGAGAGCGGGTCTGGCCAGGTTATGGTTTAGAGTAACTGCAAGAGATCGGGAGCAAGCTTACATTCATGTGCTTCCACAGTCCCTGTTGGGTGTAGATAGGATGAAACAGTAGGTTACCTCAACAAAACCTGGGTAAGTGATTGGCCAACAAAAAGATGTGGATGGTTTGCTCACATCTGAATTCCTTTGCTGATCCCATTAAGCCCACTCTGCTTCACACACAGGCTACCCCACTTACAGCCAGAGCTGGAAAAGCCCTATCAGAACCACCTTCCACTCTGACATCCTGCAGCAAGATGAACTACATGTAAAACACTAGAAATGTTTATATAATAGTTTGTAAACATGTCCAATGAGGTAGATGCCACCAAATTCCCAGGCACCCATCAGCATCTTGGAACCTCTGCAATAGATCTGGGGGTGAAAATAGTCCCATGCCTAAGCCATGACCCAGAGGCCTTATATAGTCTATCTACTTTGTCAATAGTCTGAAGGAAAATGTCTGTGTTGATCTGTCTCTCATGTGCTATGGAACAATGCAAGGTTTCTTACACATATTACATACTGCATACTATGGATGTCATTGATTTCAGAGGAACACAGGGATACTGGGCAGTGTCATCAGAAATGAAATATTCACATGCAGCAAGATTAACATTAGTATGTTGTTTCTTCTTCCTTCTAGGGATTTTTTGTTGCCATCATATACTGTTTTTGCAATGGAGAGGTATGTCACCAGCTTCTTAATTATTTCTCTCCTTTGTTACATTAGTTTCACACACATATGGTAAGGCAGATGCACACCAGCATATCCTCACTTATTTTAGAGATACGTTGTTTTGCTCTCAGTGAAAGATCTATCAGTGCACACCGAAAGTTCATATCCTTGGTTTTGACATATAAGATACCCAGGTCAATATGTCACCAATAAATAACCTACTGGAAGTAGCTAATGGAGGGGAAAAAATGTGGTTTTTCTTTTCCTAGCATAAGTGCTGTTTAGTGTTGCTTAATTTGAGATCTGTGGCAGGAAGAGAAGTGGATCAATAGAGTAGCTGCCTAATCAGCAAGCTCTTTTGATTGTCCAGGCTTTTCTGACCTTTTTTCTTTTTCCAAAGTGATAATGCTTTAATGTCTTTTTTTTTTCACTAACTCCCTCTGTTCCTGCTAACTAAGAAACTAGATGGTCAGTGGCTGTACACTGAGAAAGAACAGAATGTGGTCCAGCATAAGGTTGGTTTGGCCTGAGTGTATGGATTTTAAGGCTAAATGCAACTACAAATACGCTGCTTAAGTTTTACAGAAAAAAACTAAGATAAAATACATAGCATAAGGGGAGCTGATCATGTCCCTTAACCCTGGGAGAGAGTTAACGCATATTTCAGTTAGATGTTTTCAGCTATCCAAGCTTTCCAATGTCAAATATTTCATTTGGAAAGGGCAGATTTAATGCGAATTTAGTGTTCCTTCCAATTTCACTCCCCACAATGTTTCTCACCCATGCTGTCTGAGGATACTACCTCCTCCTGCTCCCCTCTGCTCCTACTTACGCTTTTTTTCCCCTCTTTGCTTCTCAGGTCCAAGCAGAAATAAAGAAGTCATGGAGCAGGTGGACATTAGCACTTGACTTTAAAAGGAAAGCACGAAGTGGGAGCACAACCTACAGTTATGGACCAATGGTTTCCCACACCAGCATCACAAATGTAGCCACAAGAGGAGCACTTGCCCTCCATCTCAATACAAGACTTATACCAGGGACCCTCAATGGACACCGGAATTTGCCAGGTTATGTAAAAAATGGCTCCATTTCTGAAAACTCCATGCCTTCTTCTGGACCAGAGCAGTACAACAAAGATGAGGAGTACCTGAATGGCTCTGGGCTTTACGATGGAGACAGACCTACAGTACTTGTTGAAGAAGAAAGAGAGACAGTGATGTAAAGACAGAAAGAGACAAAAGAAGCAAAAGGATGAAAAAGGTTCCTGGAGAGCATTTAGTAGGAAAAAGAGTATCAGGCCGCGCATTGGATGCCAAGGGTTTCCATACAGTTTCTCTGTTCTGTGGAACGAGAAGTTAAGTTATATGGGAAAAAAAATGTGAGCCACCAATGTGGCCAGCTGTTGATCACATACATATTCTCAAGTGATCTAAGTCTCTCTGGTGTTAACAGAAGCAGGGCTATCTAGATCCACAGCCTTGCTACTGTTGAACAACTGAGATACTGGGAGTTTATGAAGGAGAGTTGTATAGCATCAATGTGGTCCTTGGACCTCTTGGAGAGTGTGGGCAGCTGAGGAGGACAGAACTCTCACCCAGTAAAACAAGAGTCTTGCAGGGAGTGTACAGTGCCATCTTCTCGTGAGGATACAAGCCACGCTGAGCATCAGTGTCTTCAGTTTGGTTTGCTGTTTCCCTATAAAGTCTGCCTGGTAACACACACAACACTGATCGAGACGGTCATAGCTGCCCATCCTTTCAGATAAGCACTCAATGCAGGCAGCTTAGTACCACTGGTCACATGTTCTTCACTTCAGCAATATCACTCCTTGGCAAAATGCTCCTCTGGGGTGAGCAGGGCTAACAGCTCATGGCTGCTGAATGCAGACAACGCTGTTCTCCTCTCCCTGACCTGCGTCCCAGTAGCAAGCCAGAAATCAGTGCAGTTTCAGGATGGAAAATGTGCTTGTCAGAATGTGTTACATTTTTGTTCTTCCAGATGTAGCAAAGAGAGGGGCCCACCAAGTGTGTTGAGGCAGGGTGGGGAATTTGCAGTTCTTGGGTATATGTGCCTATGTGTGTGTGGCTAAAATCAGTTGAGAGGGTAGCTAACTCAGCCCTCCCGTTTTGTGGGTGCTCATGGAAACAGGCTTCAGTCAGTTTTTAAACCTCTAAATTGCTTCTTGTTCCGCCCTCTGAATTTCCTGTTCCTTACTAGCCAAAACCCTCATTAGGAGAAAAACTCCATCAACAGTCTGCCTGTGTCACCCAGCAGCACAAGCTGCTGGATACAGCCAGACAAACCTAAGCTCATGAGATCCAAAGGCAATATTTGCTGGATAAAAGCACAGGAATTGCTCATGGATGGTTACCTTTGAACATCTTCTAAACTTTCCTATTCTTTGCATTTTGATCACACACACATGTATGTGTACCAGGTCAGAATCTTAGCTGATGTTAACAAGTCTAACTTCAACCAGATAAGAAAATGCTTGCTCAGATGAGGAAATGTTATTGCAGTTACCTCTGAAAGGTACCTGCACAAGGAAATGCCTTCTTCTTACAGGAGACAAAGGCCAGGAAGATTTTCAGTTTCCCTTGCCGGTGATTCTTGCAGGGTGTACCAAAAGGTTGCTCTCTGATACAGATCATCTTCAGCAGCGATTAAGAGGTGAAGAGGTACAATCCCTGTTGGCCAATCATGTGTTGTGTTGGGGCTGCCACACCAGCAGATCATCTAGCGAAGGGTCTCTGACATTTTCCAAGCATGATACAAGATTGCCCAGAAGTGGGAAGTCAGGAACAGTGACCAAACTTCCTGTTGCAGTACGTGCTTCCCCAAAGGAAGGACTCTTGCTGAGCCAGCCTGGATCCTCAATTCAGCCCCTGTCATAACACCACTATTTGCTTGTTTCAGTCTAAGAGTCAGCTCCTCATGATGCTCTTTTTTTTTTTTTTTCTTATTTTTTTTCCTCTTGGCAAGTTTCTGGTAACTGAAATATTTCAACCGCACCTGACTGTTACTCAAATGGAATAGGAAAGAGGTATTGGGCAAGTTTGCAGAAATCCTCTGGGACATAGGTGGGGCCAATGGGTTAATCTACCTTCTATCCTGATGCTTTAGGTACTGCTGCTGAGTCACATCAACCAGAACTTCTGAGATGCACCCAGTCAATGCAACCAGCTGGTCTTCTGAGAGCAAATTACTGACATCCCAAAACTCTGAGGGAGGACAGGAAGAGAAGTGGGACCTTGACTCTGTATCCCACATCTTTAAACAACCTCTCAGGTTAGAGCCTGATCCAAACCCCAGTAAAGTCAAGGAGAAAACCTCTTCCCTTCAATATCTGAGTTTTGGATTCAGACGTGGTAGGGTATGTGGTAGATGAGAGGCAGTCCTCTGTCAGGCACTGAAACTCTAGCTACAGACATACATGAGAAGGTCTTTAAAAGCCAATATTTGTCTGTGACATTCTATTTGTGTCATTAAAGTAGGATCAAATATTATCAAAAACATTTTACACCAAATGGCAGCTATTTAAATGTAAGGTTTTCAAAGAATAATCATTCATGCCAACAATTATCGTTGTTGTTGTTATTCCTATAACAATACTAGCAATAGTATTACAGAGAAGTTAAGTAATCTTGCAAGAGAAGTCTACGCTAGTGAAAGTGTGGCATGAGGAGCTAACCAGCTCGGCAGAAATCTGGGTCTAGGTCAGCCCAGCTATGCTCACTGCTTGCTTTTTTCCCACAGATGCTGGTACAGCTTCTGGAGGCAATCAGAGGGGGCAGAAGTTATTAACAGTTGGCTGTCAGAGTGTGTACAGCTGCGTTATTTAGCATCCCATGTGGCTGAATCAGCAATGAGAGAGAACACTGAATATGCTGGCTCTGGCTTTCCAAATTTCCAGAAGTACATTGTGCTTAAATCCTGCCAAGGAGATGGAATGACCCTCCGGATTTTTTTCACTTAAAGAGATTTCCTAGTATCATTTCATTGCTGGAACAAAGGGGGGGGGGGGGAACAAAGCCAAACCAGAAACCCCCCCACCAGTGACTCACTATTTGCTTGTATTTGGTGTTTAGAATTCAATATTAATAACATGTTTAGTAATCACTTAGCAAAATTCAGTGAATTAGCAAAAGCCATAAAATTATTTATTAACAAATACAACACCCCTCTTAGAATGGAGCCCTCATTGAAATGCATTTGTCACTCGTTAGGATAAATGTCTGAGAAATGTTCTTAAATGGAGATAAAAAATACATGCACAAGGGATGTACAGGGGAAGAAATACTTTCTTAATCCTTTCAGTTATAGATCATGCATACTAGAATTTCATTTTTTTTCCTGGATGTTCATGTGCATGAGCAATATGCATGTAAAAATTTGGAAAACGCTGATAGCAAAACAGGGGAATAACTGTCATTAAGGCACAGCAGACTGTATGTTTGTCAAAGCCTGTTCCTATCATTCCTGGGCTGATAACACACTGTTGATCGAGTATATAGTCATGATCTATTATCTGGATATTCAATGACATCACAGGTTTTAGTGAGGAAGGGGTTAGACCTGTGATGTCAAAAAATAGAGAAGAAACCACAGTTTGCCCTGGAAGGGCAAGCAGAATGATCCTGCTGGCATTTATCCAAAGCCTCTAGATTCAGAACGGGCTCCTCTTCGCTTCCTCCATCACCAGGAGACGTGGGCATTTCTCAAGGACAGTTTATGCCCATCCAAAGGTCTGAGTCCACCTGGGGTGACAATTCCTTTCCTGTCTGATATACTAATTCAAACGTACTCCAAAGGCCACAGAAAAACAGAAACGTGGTGAGGTGAGGGTGCATTTGTCTATGATTCTTTGAGGGACCACTGCAAACTTGCACACAGGACAGGGTTCGTGACCTACATCCTGGTTGAGATTCAACATGGGATTGTAGAGCAGAGAGAGCATATTGCTTTGAAGTCAGTGTACAGTGAACACGTAGGCAGAGAGACTTTCTCAAAATCACTTTAAAGAGGTCCATAGGAGCTGGTTGTCTGTATTTTTCTAATTTTCCATCCTCCATGGTGTCAGATTTGTGGCCTTTTTGCTCCCATCTTGTAAAGCAGCTGGCAACGCTCAGGAGTCCTTAGACCCTCCCCACTTCCCTTAGCTTGCTGGGCTGGTACAGGCCAAGCTGTGTACTGCAATATCCCAGCTGACTGGCTCACACGGGGAGGAATCTCCTTGCCCAATAACACCGGTGCCACAGAGTTGTTGGGCTTGGGCAAGGGAATCTCCATCCCTGGCAGGTTCTTCTCATCCTACCAGCCCAGCACTTCTTCTATTCTCATCCACAGCAGCATAGTCTATTTTTATTTGTGAATCCTTCTTACTTGATCTACCTCCTCTCTAGATAGACACAGAGCTGTTAAAAGTTCCTCAGCCTTGTGTTTCTTAAAGATTACTTTTGGCAGCAGCTTTGTCATTTCTACTTTGCCTGGATACGTGCAGACAAATGTTTTTACACCTTCTATATACTGCTTGGTCTAGGTTCAGATGAGATCATGTCTTGTCCTTTTCCTCACCCTTCCTCAACTCTTCTTCTTGCCTAATACATATTAAAGCCAAATTAGTTCACAAAGATCTCCTGAAATTGAACTCTTCAGCCAGGGATTGGCTTGGTTTATCTGTTTACGGGCAACTGGTTGAAGGTCGTAGAACATCCACAGTACTGGTAAGAATTTACCAATTTTTAAACCATAAAAATATATTCAGAGGAATGTTTTTAGGGGGTGTTTTAGGGTTTGTTTTGGGGTTTGGCTTTTTTTTTACAAACTCAATGGCTGGTTTAAAAGTTCAGGTTTTGATGTTTCAGAAAGTTAAGAAACCTCATTTACAGGTTGGGTTCTCTTGCTTTTTCACTGGCTGATTTTTCTACACACCTAGAAAGCTTCAAGCATAATTACTGATGATGAGAGTGATCAGCATATCTCTTAATTCATCTGAATCTCTCACTATGGTCAATGACTCTTTCATCTGAGATAGGACTGCATGAAATACAAGAAAGCACTTTAAGAGTTGACCTTTAAGGGAGAGTTTGTATGAACCTGTGAAGTCTTTCAATGTGCTACATTGCTTCTTATTTGGTGTATGTGCTTTTTTATATGTGTTGGTGCCCATGAGTTTGCTAAAATCCTATCTGTGCCTTGTTATGGAAAGTTATGCAGCAGTACTATGGTTCACAGCCTCTCTTTCTGGCCTTATCTGAATTTTATAACATTTTAGCTGTAACAGGAAGCAAAAGGATAAAAAATTCTGGGGCAGTACTTTCCAAACTTGGGGGGTAATGCTCTTCAACTCTTCATCCTGTGCCACAAATAGGCATTGCGCTGATCGTTGCAAGATGCTCAGCAGGCGAGGAAGCTTTAAGACCATAGGCAGGTTAATGTAGATCTTCACCCATGCCACTGCCCCTCTGACAGCACCTGCTAGGGAAGAGACCATGTTGCACCCTCAGACAGGTCTTGGAAAACTGACATTTTTCAATGAGCTTCATGCTGGAACAGATTTGCTGTTTGATTTTTTTGTAGTTATTATTTTTACTGCTATTGCTGATGGGCTGCCACATTCTGCAGAGTAAACAGAGGATATATATCATATCCCTGGCCAGCTACAGAGCTTTTCAAGCATCCAGTGTGATTCTTCAGATAGAGTATATTTTATATCCCATTCCTCTAGGGTGTCCTGAAATGAGAAAAATATTAAATTGTCAAGAAAATGAGTTTGTGAAAGACCCTATAAATAAATTTCCATCATGATTGGCCATGGCTGTCTGGGTTTACCTGGAAAACATGATAATTCACAAAATGTATGAGAAAAATAAAGAGCAAGTCGCTGCCTGCAGATATTCACTGGAAGGTGATTCTCCCAGTTTTGCCTATGGAAGTGAAAGGTTGAACCTGCCAGACAGCAAATAATGTTGACCCAAAGGAACATTTTGTTTTGAGGCAGCAAATCCTGCCATCTCTATAAAAATTAGGTTTTATATGGGCTTCTCCTGTTCCACCCAAACTATTTCTGTGGCCTCTCATAAAATCAAAACTCAAGCTTAGCTCTTAGATAATGGTGGGAGAGCAAAAGAATGCAGAGATGAGTTGTTGTAAAGACACATAAATAACTGAACAACATGAAAACATAATTCCACCACTTTGATTAAAAAAAAAAAATAGCCTGGGAAATCCAGGTTGATTTTGCTTTCATTCGTGAAGAACAAAAACTGCGAGTTGGCATTTCTTGTGTTGCTTCGGGGGTATTTTCACTCAGCAGTGCTCAGCTGGCCAGAAAGTTTGAGCCGGAAATCTGTTCTTAGCGTTTGCATGTCCTCTTTGACCTCTCTGTAGGACATCTTTCACAGGCCATTGTGAATGAATTGTGATAGAGAGACATGCACAGACATGAGACTCAGAACTCACTTTTGCCTATGACCACCTACTGGTCATTTAAAGCTCAGAGACATCAAGCGATCTTGTGCTGAGGTAGAAATACTGCTCACCCACTTAATTTAGTGTTTAAATAAATTTAGTGGTTAAATTTGCTGTCTATACATACGCTTTGCAATAGGCAAAGGGTGCTTTTTTATTCAGCATTAAAAGGCATCTTCATTGGCAGCTATTTGGTCCATAGAAGGTTTTGAATATTTAAGAGTAGATATATTCTACTGCGAATCAGCAGTTGAAGCTAGGACTGAGATGTCACCCTCCTAGCAGACTCCCATGTACCTACTTCAACTGTAGCATTAGGCTTACTGTGTACCATCAACCATTTAGGTATTTCAGACTGCTTTTCTCCACAGAAAGAGCACAAAAAGGACACCAGCAGGGTGGATACCCCTACCCCCTATATAGATCCCAAATTCAGATTGGTCAGAATTTTTCTCCGTATTTAACATTTTTTTTCCAAACTGGCTCTACAATACAACCCCAAAAAACCTTTTTAAAGAATTCAGCTAAGCATTTTGTTTTCAGTTTTAACTGGATGCAAATTCACAGGTTTTTTACGGCTAGAAGGCAATCGCAACTATCAGTTTGAAAACTAATTCAGAGCATCATGATGGGAACGTGATTTGCTGAGATCAGCTGCACAGTGCTCTGGTCTCATCATACCCATCACACCAGGTTCAGAGCACATACACTCAGGGTGGAAGGTCACCCTGTCAAAACAGTCTCTTTTGGGGGGTGAATTTATATGAAAAGGGCACAGAGCAAGAAAAAGACTTGCTGTCTTTAAGCCACTCTTAAGAAGGATTATAAACAATAAAATAGTAATTCTGAGTTATCATTTGATTATTTCATCAGGTTCTGTTGAGTGCTCTGATGGGATCTGTTCAGTGTCTGGCTTCTCCCAAGTAGACAGAGTTCTCTGTGGTGGACAGAATTGCTACAGTAAGTGGACAAAGTCATTCAAAGCTGGTCTCTAGGGCAGGATAGTTAGAAACAGACCTGATGTTGATTTTATATTCATTGGCAGAAGGCAGGAGATACTCCAATGAAGTTAATTGAGTTAACTCAGTCCGATGCCAAGGCAAAACAGATCTGAATCTAGACCACAGTTCAAGACTCATGTACAATTTGCATAATGGAATTAAAATAAAGCTTCCAACTCTAGCTACAGAAATACTCTGCTGAAAATTAGAGACCAGGCTTGCTGTTTGGGATTAAATAAAAGGACACCCAAGGCATCTGCTGTCACATAGAACAATCCTGTTTATCTGTTCCTGTCCAGATCAGCCAGTTCACCGCCCTACCATACACTGTGGTTATTTAGCCACGCTCAGCTGTTGTAATTGTCAGGGAATTTTCTTAGCCTTTTTTTTTTCTTTTCTTTTTTTTCCTTTTCTTTCTTTTCTTTTTTTTCTTTTATTTTTTCTTTTCTGTTTTTCTTTTCTCTTTCCTTTTTTCTTCTTTCTTCTTTCTTCTTCTTTCTTCTTTCTTTTTCTTTTTTCTTTTTTTCTTTTTTCTTTTCTTTT